GCTCTGTAGAGCTCGGAGTGGAAGCGAAGTTGGGGTAGGTAAACAACATAACGGGCACACGTGCAGGCGTGCAGCCCAAACCATAGGCGGCGGAACGGCGGGGCACTGGGGCAACGTGCCCCCTTTGATTTTGGTATTTTAACATTAGCCCTATGGGTACCTATTGCATGACAAGAATGGGCCAATGGGACATAGGCGGCGGAACGGGGGGGGGGGGGGCACCGGGGCCCCGTGCCCCCTTGAATTCTGCAAGGGGGGCACCAATAGCAAGGTGCCCCCTTAAATTTGATGTATTAGTACCAGGGGCGGATTCGGGAAAACTTCAAGGGGAGGGTCATGAATCGAAGTGGTGCCCCTACCTATGTATACCCAAAATTAAAACCTCAACGGATTTCGGCCACTTAATTTTGGTGGTGTCCATTTTCAGTTTTTTTTATTTTCTTTATTTTTGGTTAGTCGTGTGATGACTGGTGCCCCTGCTAGGCCGCTGGTGCCCCTGGAAAGACTGTGGTACCTACCTACCCTGCCCCCTGACAAGCCTACGGTGGGCCCTGCACATTACTTAGGTGCCCATGGGCCCTGACAGGCCCGTGGTGCCCCTGACAGGCCTGTGGTGTCCTTGCTAGGCCTGTGGTGTCCCTGGGCCTTGGCAGGTCTGTGGTGCCCCTGGCGAGCCTGTGGTGTCCCTGTTAGAACGCAGGTGCCCTTGACAGGTTTGTGGTGCCCCTGACAATCCTTAAGTGCCAACGACAAGCTTGTGATGCCCTTGACAGGCCCATGGTGCCCTTGCGAGGCCGGTGGTTCCCCTGCGAAGCGGATAGTGCCCCTGGCAGGCCTCTGGTGCCCCTGGCAGGTCTGTGGTGCCCCTGGAAGACCTGTAGTGCTTTTACTAGGCCGATGGTGCTCCTGACAGGTCTGTGGTGCCACTGACAGGCCCGTGGTGCCCCTGCTAGGCCTGTGGTACCCCTGGCGGGCCTGTGGTGCCCCTGTCGGCTGTCAGGCCTGTGGTGCTCCTGGCAGGCATGTGGTGACCCCAGGCCCAAAGTCATGACCCATGTGACCTCCCCCCTGGGATTCGCCACTGATAAGTACTGCGATGGCTTCTTGGTAATTTGATACATGTAGGATTAATGGAATTTATCAAACGAGAATAAGGAAGAGGCAAACACATAGTGTGCCCTCTGCGTCCCGGCTCCACGTCCACACGCGCGTGCTGCGGTTCGCGTTCTGTATTTTCCACACTCGATCCGGCCGCCCGCCATCGTGACCCCGCTGACCTCTGACGTCACGGACGGTCAGCCGGTCAGCCCGTGCCCCGTGTGGGCACAGCCCAGCACATCTCCCCCTTCAAAAAAAAAAAACAACAACAACAGTATAAACAAGCAATGAGAACAGGGAAAATAACGACACAGCAAGACACTCACGAATTCCTGCATTGAATCATTGCGGAGAGACCAAGTAGCGACTCATCCCAGCGAGCGCTCCACCCAGTCCGTCAATAGATCCTCCCACTCCGGGTCTTCTTTGGAGACGCGGGAGGCTGGGTCAAAGCGGGCGGGAGTGACGCGTCTGGTTGCAGCCCAGCTGCGCCCTCGCCGATCTGCTGCCGTTGTCTGCTCAGTGAGTCGCCTGGCTGTGATGCGGCCGCCCCCTGGCTGGTCCACCGATCCCCTCTGTCCAGATCCTCCGACTGCGGGCTCCCGGCTGTGTGACCATCTACGGGACGGGAAAGATGCGTTAGCGATGTTGGCGCGCTCGCCAGGTGGCGTCGATTCCGGACGTACAAACCGTTGTCAGTGGCGATCACATAGCTCCGTCCTCCCGGTCTCCGATCAACTACGCGTCCGAGAACGCCCCAGTCACTATCATTGCTGGTCCGAACACGCACACGTTCACCCCTGTCCAGCTCAACAAGAGGCTTAGCACCGTGACATTTATCAAATTTTCTCTTCATTCGCCTTTTGGCTTCAATGTCCCGCCTGTTTGCCACCCGCCAAATATCCCTTACCGGACTCGGCGGGCTCGGGAGACGAGTTTGCAGCGTGCGCCCCATCAGGAGCTGCGCCGGTGCCAGACCCGTGGGCTCGACTGGAGTAGTCCTGTAGGCCATCAGTGCGAGATGTGGGTCACGCTGCTTCAGGCACCATTTTGCCTGCTGCACTGCTTTCTCAGCTGCTCCATTTGCCTGAGGGCAGTAAGGATCAGTTACGCGATGACTGAACCCGTATGCAGTGGCAAAGTCCTTGAACTCTTGTGAGACGAATTGTCTTCCCCCATCTGAAGTTACTAGATCAGGAATGCCATATCTGGCAAAAAGACACTTCATTTTCTCTATAACGCTACCGCTGGTGATGTTTCCCAGTTGTTGAACCTCTAGAAATCGACTGAAAATGTCAACGGTGACCAAGTAGCTGTGCGAAGCGTGCTGACAAATATCGGTCGCTATGTGTGACCACGGTTTTTCAGGCGCTGGCGTTGGTATCAACGGCTCTTTCCTTTGGACAGGTGAGTGAATCTGACAGAACTGACAACACTTCAGATACTCTTTCAAATCTGTGCTAATGCTGGGCCACCAGATTGAACTTCTAGCCCTGTCACGACATTTTGATAGGCCCAAATGTCCATCGTCATGCAATCTACTCAGCATTTGCATCCTCATCTGGTAAGGAATCACTAGCCGACTTGCATACATTAGTACGCCATTGGCGACACTGAGCTGATCTCTTACCCCGTACAGCGGGTGTGACCTGGCTCTCGCCGTCCACTCGCTCGTTGTGTACTCCATGGCTGTCCGGATGTTGTCATCCTCCTGCTTAGCCCGTCGGACCTCCGTCAGCCTGCGGTCAGTCATGGGCAGCGCTTGAAAGGTGCCAGTCACGTAGTCATCAACATCTTGCTGCAACTGCAAGCATGTGTCGTCGACACAGGGCATCGGCTGACGCGACAAACAGTCTGGGACACAGTGCTGAGAGCCTGGGATGTACTGTACTCGAACGTTGTATCTCATCAGCCTCATCAGCATGCGTTGACACCTAATGGGTGAGTCAGTGAGTGGTTTCGAATTAACCAATGGGACGATCGGCTTATGGTCAACATGTGCTGTAAACTCAGGGAGACCATAAAGATATGTGTGAAACTTTTCACACGCCCACGTCAGACCCAGCAGTTCTTTCTCAATCATGGCGTACCTTTGTTCCGTAGGAGTGAGGAGTCTGCTCGCGTACGCCACCGGTCTGAGCTGGCCATCGTGCCGTTGCAGAAGACAGCCTCCAATGCCGTAGCTGGACGCATCGGCGCTGACCACCGTCTCACGAGTGCTGTCGTAGAAGGCTAGAACAGGAGCCTCCTGCAGCATCGCCTTCGCCTTTTGAAGTGACTGCTGCTGCACCGGAGTCCACTGCCACGCCGCGTCACTCTTGAGTAGGTCGGTCATGGGCTTCAGCACTCCTTGCAGTCCTGGAACGAACTTACACAGGTAGTTTATCATACCGAGCTGCTGTTTCAGCTCTTTCACATTTCGGGGTGCGCTCAGCTTCTGGATGGCAGCCACCTTGTCTGGGTCAGCCTGGATCCCAGCACTGCTCACAGCATTGCCCAGGAACTGGATCTTCCTCTGTTTCAGCACACATTTCTTCCTGTTCAGCTTCAGCCCTGACTGGCGGATCCTGTCAAGGACAGCTGCTAGGCGTGTATCATGGTCAGCGTCAGTTCCATGCACGACGATATTATCCATGTAACAAATCACGCCCTCGAGCCCTTGGAGCATTTCTTCCATTTTTCTTTGGAATACCTCGGGTGCCAAGTTGATACCCATGGGAAGGCGAGAGAACATCTTCCTTCCAAAGGGAGTGAGAAATGTGGTCAATGGTTTTGAGTCCTCGGAAAGTGGCATTTGAAAGAACCCAGATGATGCATCAAGTTTGCTGAACTGAGTGGATCCAGCGAACTGACTCGACAGCTGCTCAAGGGTCGGGATGGGGTGGACCTCCCTCTTCACCGACCTGTTCAGCTGCTTGAAGTCCACGCAGATGCGCACTCCACCGTTGGGTTTCTTGATCGGCACCATCGGAGCACACCAGTCCGTCGGCCCGGTGACTGTCTGGATGATACCGCAGGCCTCCATCCGTTCCAGCTCCTCACGGATCTGCTTCATCAGTGGGAGCGGCACGCCTCTTGCAGTCGTCACCGCTGCTGGAACGGCGTTGTCAGTGAGCTCAATATTGATGGGACTGGTCTGCATCAAGCCTGTCGTGCCAAACACATCGGAGTGGGCAACAACACCATCAGCGTCAACAAACTGAACCACGCCCAGCATGCTGCTAGTCGATCGAGACAACAGGTTGTACGACATTTCTGTGCACTGAAAAAAATTTTTACTCAGGCCAGGCATTACTCACTAATAACTCATGAAGAAACTCAGTGAATACGATAGTGGTGCTCACTTATTGGCTGATCTAACTCACATCACCAGGGTGACTTCGTTATGCGTGAGTTCTGAGTGCTTAGTTTCGTGAATTCGAACTGAGTCGGAAATGAGTTTTGCTTGGGCAAATCTAGTTTCCTGCGCAATGCATGAGTTCTCGCGAATTCACGTGCAGTTGTGCGTGAGGTACCCCCAGCTTGAAGATGCGCGCATGCGCGGCAGGGTGAGTTTCCTGCGTGATGCGTGAGTTCGCGTGATGAGTATTATAGCCGTTGCGTTCGAAAACCGCGGCGCGCGCTTCAGTCCGTTGTGGCGCGGTGACTCGCGTAGTTCACGTTGAATTGTTGAGGCTATTGTGAAATTGTGCAGGAGAGTGCAGGAGCGGGGAAGGCGTGCAGCGAAGGATGGGTAAGTTATCTGTGAAGAACTCGGTGATTGTCGATGAAGCTTTTATCAATCGCATGCGCCGCGGAGAACAGGGAGGTGAACTGATGGACCAGCAGACATTCCCCGCCGGCGTCAAGAGGTCGGTGCCAACCGTGAACGACGGAGCAGATCGATCGAGAAACTGAGGGATACCTACCCGGCATAGTTCGAGAAAGAAGAGGTGAGTTATGTTATCTTTAAATTAACCCTCGCCCGTATAGGGGGGGGGGGTCGAACGGACCCCCCCCCATGATTTTTCGCAAATAACTCGCGTAAAAAGCGGCCGATCGCGACGAAACTTTCAGTACCCTCGCGTTCATCAATTTCACACCTACCCTGAAAATTTCATGACCCTGACCCAAATGACCTTTGACCTGTGACCTACTTTTCGAGACCATGTTTGGCTGGAATCGCGATTCGGCGTGTGTCGGCTCGCATTAGCCGCGCGTTTGCAGTCTTTTCGTGGTTTCAAGCGTTCAAACATGTGATATGATGTTGCCCCCATGCATTAGGGTGCGTGTCAAGGTCACCTGAAGGTCAGGTCAGGTCATTGACCTTTGATGACCTCGGTTCACTTTTTCGAGTTGTACATGCTTCTAGGCCAGTTTTTGGAGCTGAATTCGAATTTAGCAACCATATGAACATTTACGAAGTAGTTTTGGTGCCTTCGTAACATGTTACGAAGCTGTCAGAGGCGGTTGCCACCTACTACGAATACCCTTACTGGTTGACCTGACCTGACCTGACCCGACCTGGCCTAAATACATGAAGACATCATCTGTGATCAAAACTAACATGATATTCGTGATCAGCACCCCTAAAAACCTCATAGCAGCCACACTTTACGACGTTCTAACAGGTCCCGATTTTCCCGCCTTTGGGGTCATTGACCTGACCTGCAAGGTCAACCAATGACCTAGGACCTTAAAGTTGGGTATCATCGGCTTCCTCTCGTCACGGGCAACACGCTCGTTTTTTCCGCGAAGCTCTAGCTCGATCAGGGGCGAAACGGCAAGGGGGGGTCCAACGGACCCCCCCCCCCCCCCTTATACGTTCGCGGCTGGAAAAACACCAATACGGGCGAGGGTTAAAAAAAAACATGTTTGTGGGATAATGTTGTCCTTATCCTAAAAGAACGTTCATTTGACCCTTTTTACTTCTTTAAACAAGAGCTCCGTCACGACCCGATGTTTTTTTTTTGGGGGGGGGGCGCAGGTTGTTTGAAGTCGATTCTTTCCATGCAGCACCCATAGGCACAATGTTAAAAATGTAAAATATTGGGGGACACGTCCCCCGTACCCCCCCCCCCCCGGTGGTGGAGCCCATGATCTTAATTCCGCTCGCTGAACCGTTTAACCCGCGCCCCGTAGGGCTACCGGCGGACCCTACCACCCGTAGGGGGGGGCCGTTTCGGCCCCCCCCTAAGATCTCGGAAAGTTACCGGCCGATTTTCAAAATTCAAACGGCGTTCGATAGCCCCACCCGGGAACTACCTTGTGACCAAATTTCATTGACCTAGGTCAAACCGATGACGTCACAGGTCAGGTCAAAGGTCAGATTTTCACCGTTCACAGGCAATTCAAGAAATGTGCTGTGAAAGCGAGTAAATGGGTAATTTATTGAAAACCATCGATGGTACATTGTTCGTCAAACACATACTTTGCTATCTGAGGTCACTGATACCAGGTCAGGTCACAGCGAGGTCAGGTCACCGGGGGTCACAATATGAATGTGTCGTGTGATACATGTTTTATGGTCCATTTTACATGACAAATGCGATTATGTGGGTTAGGCAGCCTTTGGGGCCAGCCTAGGTCACGTTTTTGTGAAGGTCAGGTCAAGGTCAGGTCAAATTAGGTCAAATTTCAAAGTTGATATTTTTGCATAAAATGGGTATCGATTTGATGCAGCTCGTCACGGGGAGTCTAATGGTGGTCTTCGTTTTGCTCTACGAGTTCTAGAATTGCCAAAAATTGAGTTTGAAAATTTGACGTCATAATTTTTGAACAGTTTTTTCGCTATAACTTGGCCAAAAAACGAGGTATCGATCTGAAATTTGGTATGTAGATAGAAGACGGTAGGCACTATCACATACATTCCGGTTTTTTCGAAATTCAAAAAACTTTTTGGATTTTTTGGCGAATATATCCAAAAAATTGCTTTTTTGATTTTTGGGGGTCAAAACTCAAAAATTTCAAAAATTCGAGATAGCAGTTTTGTAGCCCTGTCAATTCTACATCTTTTATGTCTTGATCATTTTTCTGTATCTTCAAAGCTGTAGTCCTGACAGGTCTTCTCGCGAAGGTCTTTTTTCGGTCGAAAATGACAGAACATGACGTCACTCTGACGTCATTTGTGGCCAACCTATCATAGCCTCTGGAAAAATTTTTTGTCACAATGTGTAAAATTGATGCCCGGAGGGGTCCTGAAAGTTTGGTGGCGATATCTCCAGCCGTTTAGGAGATATCGACCGAAAAGGACAGGGAGGGGCCGTTTCGGCCCCCCCCCTACGGGGCGCGGGTTAAGATTTTTTGTCTCGTTTGTGCTTATTATTTTTCCGACTGTTATTATTTTTTCCGACTGTTTTTTTTTCTTAATGCCTACACACATATTTTCGTACACTATTCGATTTCAGCGAGCATTTTCAACCTTTCTTACAGTTCTGGTGCGAGTTCGACCGGGTGGTGGTGGGTTGCTCAGCCGGCTCGAAGCCGGCACTGACCACTACGAGGCCTCGATGCACCGGCTTAAATCATGGCTAAGCCGAGTTCAGGCGGCATGCTTCAGCACAAAAGGTTTGTGTTTCATTATCTGTTCATTTTTACACAATAAAATAAGGAAAAGCAACGTAACTAGCAATTAAGTATGTGAACGTGCTTCAATATTATACATGCACCAATATACAAACATTAATTGCGTGTATCATTTGCACATTAACTGATGAAGATTATTATTATTATACACTGTGATTGTTTAGATTATACAATATATTAAATATATATATAAATATAATATATATATATATATATATATATATATATATATATATATATATATAATATAATATAATTTATAATATACGGCGAGACGCGTTTGAACGTGACATAATCATTTCCATTACTGTTAAAGGGACCCTCCCACCTTCAAAAAAGTTAATGAATTGGCACGAAAGTGATGTCGCTTGGTTCAGAAAGAGCGAAAACGAATATCTACCAAATTTCATCGAAAAATATTCACCGGTTTTCAAGATATTAGACTTTTACTTTTGTTTACTTTTTGGGACCTCCGCTGTTCCTAGCGACTTTATTTGAAAGTGCGGCATTTGTTGCGCGCAAAGCAGCATATACCACCGCGTGCTACCAAACGTTTTAGTAAAAGATTTAAAAATCGTTAGATCTCCGCTGACGTCACAAATTCTAAGGGGGCATACCAATGCACTAGCCCCTTAGAATCCGAAAACTGCAAGTTTGAAATTCCATATTTCCTAATTAAAGCATTTGTCGATGTTGTGAGTGCCCAAACCGGTATTTGCAGGCCATGGCCACCAATTTGGCTATCTCAACTCAAAACTAATGTTAAGGTGGGAGTGTCCCTTTAAGTATAACACATTTTATGTGATTGTTTCAAGTTGATTTTAATATTGGACGCCCATGGAAGTGTTTTGCGAGACTAAAACCCGTCTGTTAAGGTGACCATCCCACCTTGACCCGCGCTGTGCTGGGTGGCGTTTTACGCCCCCCCCCCCCCCGCCCCCTCAGGTTTTTCGCGAATATCTAAGAACGGCGGCGCGCAGCGCCACCATTTTCGGCACACCTGCTCATACATTTTTTCTGCATATGGAAGAAATTTTAGACCCAGGTCGTTCAAGGTCAGGTCACGTCAAATGACTTAACATAAGAAAATTTTCAATGGTCGCTGACGGTCGCACCGTTCGCAACGTGCCATGGAAACGGTTCGATATTTTTGTCATTTTCGCTCAGGGAATTCACCGCTCGATTTCACACCAGTTTGAGGTAAAATGTCAAAAAAATATCGAACGGATTTCATTTTATAGCGTTTTTGATACTGTCCCATGTCTCAAGTATCAACCTTACGGCATGTATAAAATATATTTGCTAGTGCAATAAAACACCTCATATGTGTTCAGCTTGACGGTTTGGATCGACTGATATGCAACATGACCTGGTCAGGTCAACCTGAGGTCAAGTTTTAAAAATGGTCTTTCAAGGTCATTATTATAGTAAATTATAGTTCATTCGTCCCGACGAGAGGAACACTACGCTAACGGCAAAATAAATGTCGTGACCCTTGAGTGGAAAGTATTTTTTATTGAGTGGAAAACATTTTCGTAAAAACGGATTTTTTAGAGTTTTTGCTCTCTGGAGGCTTAATTGTTGACCTGAGGTCAAATCTGAGAACAAACGCCAGCAAAAAAAAAATTGTCGAAAGGGCTTTTGACTGCATTTTTCCGCGGGCAGCTCTTTTGGTTCCGAGTTAAGCACCAGTTTTTCGAAAATATTGAAATAAGCAAAATTTGGCCTTTCCTGACCTCTGGTGACCTGGCATTTGACTTGACCTTAAAAATTACCCAAGTATTTCCTTAAATATCTGTTATGCTTTTTCGAATGCCGCTTACTGCGTGTCGCTACGTGGCCCAACAGCCGAGTTAGAAGAGGGGACGTGAAGACGACCCCTCCCCCCCCCCCCCCAGTACATCACGGTAAACTCAGAGCACCAGCACGGCGCGGTTTAACATTAATTTTGAGCTGAAGTAACTTGATAACTTTTGATATTTCAATCAACTTGCATGCCCTATAACTTCCGTTTCTCTAACTGGCAAAAGAAAATCTGACTTTTTTATTGTGTTTTCAGGGAACGGCCCATTGAGCCTCCTCTGCATCTTGGCGGAGAAGGCGTCAGTGGTGGCGTACACGGGTGACGAAAATTTGGATCACCCCCATCATAACAAGTCCGAAGGAAACGAACGGTGCCGCCTCATCGTGGAGCGAACGGAAGTCTTGTGGGGATCCATGGTTTGGAAGGGAGTCTTTTGCTGTGGGCGACGGCGCACTTTGTGCTCAATCAACAAACGGCGCACGAAGTGCGAAACACGCTGTGGTTTGTGTGTATCCATGTACTCCACACACCATTCAATGCTGAGCGCCAGCCACCTGTAGCCGCGAAGACTGAGGTCGAGAAGCTGGCAAAAGAGCGAAGCTGAGCTGACGTGGAGTCGATCCCTCCCCCGACGCAGTTTGGCGTGTGTCAGAATTGAAATACAGCGCAATGCGACCGTTTCTACAAACATGTATTCCTTGTAAGGGCTGGGGCGAATAGTGCAAGACTAGACGTTGGTCGGGCATGGTATAATACAGATATGTATGCTGGTTTTGGGCAATGATTCGTTATATATTGGCCAATCCCAATATATAGGCTAGCTGCCTGGTTGTGGCTGTTGTATCAGCATCATGCATGCACATTGCATAATGCTGATGCGGCAGCTGTTATCATGGGCGGCGAGCCTATACATTGGCTTGAGCCAATATAAAACGAATCAGATCGGCCGTTTCAGGCGGCGCCTGAGTAACACCCGAGTGTCGTATGAGTTATCGATGTGAGTACGTCCTGAGTACAGCCCTAGTTTTCACTGAATAACCGATGAGTTCCACCTGAGTTATGGCCGAACTACCACCTGAGTTATACATTAGTACCAGCTGAGTTACATATGAGTTACTTCCTAGTTTTTCATGAGTAATGACTTACTATTACCTGAGTTTGGCCTGAGTTGTTTGAGTAGGACATGAGTTACGCATGAGTACTTAATGAGTTTTATCTGAGTTTTACCGTCGGACAAAATGGCAACTCACTTTGTTACTCACATGCTACTCACTTGCAATGAGTTTTGCCCGAGTTTTACCTGCGTTCCGCCCTGAGTTTTACCTGAGTACGCGGATTTAGAGTGAGTTCTACCATTGGACAAAATGGCAACTCAGTCATTACTCAGAAAAGTGAGTAAAAATTTTTTTCAGTGTGTCTACAACGTAGAAATCTTGAACGACTGTGCTCTTATATGACATCTGACCCTTGAACAGTCCAAGAACTTTCAATGGACCACCCACACTTGTTACTTTTGGTTTACATGGGCTCAGTGCAGGCTTGTTTGCCATCTGATCGAATTGCCTTTTTGTAATTACATTGATATCAGCATCAGTATCAACTTTAAACGTCATCTGGGTTCCCTCTACTATAGCGTCAATCATCCATCTCCGACATCTGCCATCCTGCACATCACCCAAGAACAGTTCGTCCTCTGCTGTGACCTCGTTCACAGTACGTTGGCGGCTCATGCATACCGACTGGAAGTGATCCATACCACCACAAGAGAAGCAGTTTGCCCCTAGGGCAGGACACTCACTTGGAGTCCGGTGGCGTCCTCGGCCGCAGTACCTGCATGTTCCGTGCTCCGGCGACTGCCGAAACGCCTGCCGCTGCGAGCGCCACGGCTGCGGGGGGCGAGGCTGGTAGTGCTGGCGCTGCTGATTCGACCGATACATCGGCCGGTACTGCCGACCCTGCGGCCGATACTGCGGACGCTGCTCCTGCTGCTGAGACTGCTGAGGATCACAGCGCTGCTGCTGGGCAGCGTCTGCCTGGGCACTGTCGACATCAACCTCATTATTCACATCAACGAGGTCACTACTTCGTAACATATCGATTACTTTCTCAAGCGTCATGTCAATCTCCAGTGCCTGGATTTGAATTTTTCTAGCTAACTCTTTGCTTGACATCCCGGCTATTAGCCTGTCCCTGATCCGTTCTGCTTTGGTGTCACCAAAACCACATTTTTCAGCCAGCAATAGGACCGCGCGAATAAATGCTTCATTTGTTTCTCCACGCTTCTGAGCTCGTAACTCGAATGCCTGTCTTTCTGCAATGATATTTGTCTTTGGCATGAAATACCGGTTAAATGCCTCCGTGACGGGCTCAATCAGTTTCTTATCCTCTTCTCGCATAGCAAAGCTATTCAGCAGCTGCTCGGCAGCGGGTCCCATCGAATAAATGAGTGCACTGACCTGTACCTCCTGGGGGTCCTTGTAGAGCTTCGATGCCATCTTGAATCTCGTCCATCTGTCTCGCCACTGAGGCCACACGGACGGAGTTGAAAAATCAAACGAGTCTGGTGCCTTGAATGCCATTTGACCTCTTCTGAATGTACCGCACAAAATCTTCAACCGTATGTCTTTACAAATCCTGCAGGCTGCGCCATGTGCCCTCTGCGTCCCGGCTCCACGTCCACACGCGCGTGCTGCGGTTCGCGTTCTGTATTTTCCACACTCGATCCGGCCGCCCGCCACCGTGACCCCGCTGACCTCTGACGTCACGGACGGTCAGCCGGTCAGCCCGTGCCCCGTGTGGGCACAGCCCAGCACACATAGGTACAGGTCTCGCGGGTTTTAGCGGTAGGTGACTCGGCGAGCGGGAGGGCAACCAGTTCCGCCTCTGTATCGGTGACCATTTGCTCCACCCAGTTACTCGCGAGTGCGTACTACGGCACATAGTAAAGTGGGGAGGGAAGGGTCAGAGTGGCAGCCTGCGTTGAGGCTAGAACCGGTTTCTATCGTCTGGGCTGGCGACACGGCATACGGTCAGGGGACGGGGAAAGGTCAGAGGTCACTCACAATGTGCAGTACCGCGTCCCGTCCTTCTGCGTGCTGACCAGCGCACGACCTCGGCCGTTGGCCAATCGGCATTGAACGGCCAAGGCCACCAGTAGCCAGCGGGCGGGGCGAGCCGACAGCGTGCCGATCCATAGTGGTCCAAAGTTTTAGCCGCTTACCATGGAGGCCGGGAGACGACTGTAATGCTATTGCCTATTTCATGGGAACAGTTCTGTCATTTAACCGTGACCTGCTGAGACTGGAGGTCGTTTAACACCGTTTTGTTTTCTGCTGCACTGTATTTTCAAAACTTTGTCACAAAACTGACCAAGATATAGTTGTACCTATGAATGAAATTACATCACTTTCAAAAGGAAACTAGGCGTAAAAATTTGAGTCTGGACATTACTGAAATCTGTTTTTTTTTTTTTTTTTCATTGTTTTTGGAACAAAACCAATGTGAGCCGCTAAAAAAGCAAAAAATAAAATGGAATATTCCATAACTCGCACCCATATCGGTGTTTTCGCAGGCACTAACGTATGGGCGGGGTGGATCAGACCTCACAGTTGATCGGCTTCTGATCAAACTAGAGCTTCATGAAAAGAAGGAACATGTTGCACGTGACGAGAGGAAGCCGATGATACCCAATTTTTAGACCATACGTCAATCGTTAACCATAGGTCATACGTTGACCTTCCAAGTCAGGTTAATGACCCAAAGGTCGGAGGGATCGAGACCTGCCTAGAAGTTTTTGTTGTGAGCTTTTAGAGAGAAAGGGAGAGGGGGAGAGAGAGAGAGAGAGAGAGAGAGAGAGAGAGAGAGAGAGAGAGAGAGAGATAAATTAGCCTTCTTAGAAAACGGTCGGTATATGTATTTATGCGACAATACATAAAATTAAAATGAACCTTTATCCTTCTCACAGCTAGCCTGTTCAAGTGTTTCCATTTCTATATCGCTAATGTTAAAGAAATGGAAACGTGGCCTTTAGGCCATGTGACCAGAAACCGGCAGCTAAACTGCGGATATTCTTGGGGCGTGGAAACATTGAAGATTGACTGTGCCGCAATGTCACCCCTAGTGGTTATAAACCTGGCTAGATCGGCTCCATGCGCTCAGCAGATCGGCAAATTTGTAGTTAAACAGCCCTGAAGGCACCGGCCAAGTAAGCCACAAGGGACCAAACATCATTTCACATGCTAGGACGTTTCTAATCACAAGTCTAGAAATGAGCGGTTAACCCACGAGCCGCTGGGAGGGGGGTGGAATAAAGCTGCTCCCCCCTTCACGTTTTGTGAATATCTCCGAAACCTGATGAGCTACGAACGTGAAACAATTGGCAAAACTTGGCATGTCATTTTTTTTTATAAATTTAGTCCGAACCTTTTGATGGGAAGGATTCACAAGGACAGAGCCACCGCTGAGCGAAGCTTGTTGCGATGACCCTGCCCTCTACCCTCCGATCGCGCAATTCCGATTCTATGGCAGAATTTAGAGTCCAAAGTTTTACGTGCGCACAAAGCCGCGGACGGCCCGTCCCCTCGCTGACTTCGCCTGGCTACGGCCTGCCACCAACCGCAACCATACCTGTCAGGAGGCCCATAAATGTCGAGCGCCCGTCGCGCTTCGAACCTGGACTGTCATAACCGGGAACGCGTGCTCTCACCACGCGGAGTCCAACGCTCTAACCAACTGAGCTACGGGACCGGCAATTCACATGGGATTGACACCAAATTGGAACACAACCTCGGCTAGGTATTCAGGAAGATGTGTGCAAAGTTTCTCTTCTCTTTCTCTTCATGTTGCGACGATATCGTCGCAGAAGTAAAGGGGGGGCAACTGTTGCCCCCCTCCCCCCCCCCCCCCCAGCGGCCGGCGGGTGGCGCGAAGGCCCAGTGCAGCGGCCGCCGGGGTAATGAGACCTGACACGCCGAATGCCCATTCTGGCCTAAACGTAATGGGCTCTAAAAAGTGGTCACAAGGGTCTTTAAATTTTCAGGGTAGGTGTAAAATATCAAATTGCGGATGGCCTGAACTTATCCCGGCTCCTGACCGCATGGATATTTATTTACTTATGGTGAAAAAATAACTTACGGCACTGAAAGCTTCGCAGCTATCCGCCACTTCCTATACGCCAGTTATTCAGGAAAAACTGAGGAGAGGGGTTTATTTTATCACCCCTAGTAAAAGGTAGGGTTTGAATTCCATTAAAAGTAAACGGTAACATCAAAAAATAGCATTTCTTTTATATTTCTCAATAAAAATGGTGGGTTCTTTCGTTACGGAGCGAGCGAAGCGAGCGTAGTCTTTCCTTAGATTAACGGAAAATTCTGAGTATGAGCGGCCGGCCGGCCGGCCGGCCGGCCGGCCGTGGTCACGCTTTTGCGAGGCTTATATCTCAGTAACCACTTGACCGATTTACACGCGGTAATTTTTGTAGGGTAGCTTCATTCCTTCTACCAAGTATTGGACTATTCCCGATGCATGTGGGTGACCCCTTATGCACGTGCCACGTGCAAAACGAAGGGGTGTCAGTTTTGTAATTGTTGCAATATCTCGGTAACTACTTGGCCGATTGCGCTGAAAGTTGGCATGTAGGTAGGCACCCACTAGGCACTGCATATACATGT